CAAAAGAAACTGTTAAACCTGATACTGAAATGAAAGATACTGAAATGAAAGATACTGAAATGAAAGAAACTGAAATGAAAGATACTGAAATGAAAGAAACTGAAATGAAAGATACTGAAATGAAAGAAACTGAAATGAAAGATACTGAAATGAAAGATACTGAAATGAAAGATACTGAAATGAAAGAAACTGAAATGAAAGATACTGAAATGAAAGAAACTGAAATGAAAGATACTGAAATGAAAGAAACTGAAATGAAAGATACTGAAATGAAAGATACTGGAATTAAAGATACTGAAATGAAAGATACATCACCTGGTAATAGTGAAAAGTTGTAATTTTTTGCCGCAATAGGTGTAATAGTCGTAATAGATTTAATGAGTGTAATAGATGTAATAGTTGTAATAGGTGTAATTGCTGTAATAGATATAGTGGATCTCACTAAATAAATCGGATATATTAGTAAATATCTAATGAGTTTGAATAACATAAAAATATTTAGTAACTTAAAGAATTTTAGATCGTTTAATAAAGATTCCAAAATAATATCCAATTGAAATTATGATCAAAAAGTTTAACACTACTATGTTTATACGTATTTATTCTCGTTAATTGCGTTTCTAGTATACATTACATTTCTATTTATTTTCGTTACCGTATGTTTGCGCCCCCTCAAAATAATATGCGAGGCTTTAAAATAACCTAAATAGCGCATCTCATATATATGTAGTATCTGTGACATAAGAGTTACGTCTCATTTCCTCGAAAACTATTTTTCCCGTCATTTATTTGACATCACGCTGATTGACAATTTACTAACAATATATACCCCATAGGAAGACTTTCGTATGATTGGCCGTTTAAATAAATTTAATTTTACATTATTTATACAGTTTAAAGTACTTTTTTAAAACTACGAAGAATAAACAAAAAAGAAGTATATAGAAAGCTTTATTAGGGTTGTAGGACTCCAGCAGGGCCAGTGATTTTCTGTGTTTCACATAATACCACAGAATTCACATAAATATGCCTATATCACATAATTTGGTGTTTATCACCACAGAATAGGGCAATTTATAAGAATTGTTACATAATTTGGCAATTTATTGGCAAGTCAATAGATAAAGTCTAACAGATCCAGTGTATCTCCCGACGTAGAATCGTACGTAGAATTTTAATGAACTCAAATTACGAGCGGTACAGAATCGCACATAATTTGGTAAGCACGCCACAGAATCACACATAATTTGGCCAAGTATACCGCAGATTCGCACATAATTTGGCAAATATGGTTTACATCACACCACATAATTTAATTCTATCTATCTTTAAGAAGTCGCTATTATGCTAACTTCTCTAAAACCAGAAATCATTTTGATTATTTTTAATACTGGAGTTCTACAACCCTAATAAAACTTTCTATATACTTCCTATGGATTTTATACATATGACACCCCAACATCATATGATGATTATCATATTACACAAACGTGTTAGCATGGACATGCGGTGTGACCAGATCATATAACATGTGTTTATCAGATTTTGATTTTTACATGGCTTCTTTCAACTCTTTCAATAACAAACTGAAGATTCCAGAAGAAAAAGAAGTTCTTTATAGAGAAGTATATTATTTTAAGAACCCATAGCACTCTTTAAATACTGAAATGTTATAGAATTAAAGTTTTATATCCAGAGCTCATTTTAGAAAGGTTTAAGTAAACTGTATGTCATGTCTTCATCAATTTATTTTTGTTCTTATTTTTGGTTGTTCATATACTGCCTAGTAGAAAAAAGAACTCATACATCTTTAAATCAAAATGGAATAAGCATCAAAAAAAGACTACTAAAGAGTACTGCCAAATTACAATCAAAAAGTAAAGTAGCAACTTATGATCTAAAGCACTATTACCGAAATAGAAGTTGAAGATTATATAAAAATCAGTGAAAAAATTGAATTGGCAAAGAAAATTGAAATTAAGTTGTTAACTCAAAGTAAGGACATGAAAATTATTTTTAATCATAAAATCAATATTTACAAATTTAACAAAAAAATTGTTTTTGTTAAGACAGTCATAGGATAAATATAAACAAGCCATAACAAATTTCTATATTTTTCTTGATGAATTACGGCTAGTAATATGCATTGTAAAAGATATAACTAATTTACTAATTTCTAACAACATTATCTGAAAGTTATTCTACATCTTAATATATAGTAGGCTTAGATCAAAGCATGAATTTATTTTGTTTGAGAATCAAAGTGTTATATCGATACTAGTATTTATAGAATTAGCATTTAGTTTATTAATTAAATATTTTTTTTTAATGCCTTTATTTCTTATTTTTTTTTACATTAATTAATAATATGTATTATACACTCTCTTCTAATATAACTAGTTATAATTCACTATAGGATTCCAATTTCAAGTTATATTATGAAATCACACATTTTTATACTTTACACTTACACTGACTTGGATCATAATTACTAACTATAACTTTTTTTACTTTAATTTTATAAAATGCTGTGCAAAGTTGAATATTAGAAAACAAAATATAAATGATGAGTTGTGTTATGGGAAATTACTTTGGATATTTCAAAGTTTTGAATTCTATTTGAGTTGACTTATTAATTGCAGATAAATTTTAGTCTTTTAATTATATGTATGTATGATATAAATTATCAAGTTAATCTTTTTCTATTATAGTATTAGTAGAAGCAAATCAACCAAAATTACATCTCTAACAAGAAGGTACTAAAACGTCAAATAGTCATTACAACAAAGAGAGACGCTGTGTAATAATACTTAGTAGAGAGGTAAAGCGGATATTAATTTAGCAAGGGCCTAAGGCACCTACTAAGTATCAATATGTTAGTATTTCAATACAATTTTAAAGAACATTTGGGTTTGGATATTTAAGGACTTTTATTAACTTTGTTTTGTATAGGAATCAAATCACACACTTTATAACTTATTTTGATAAGAGGAATTTTATCTCTTATTTATAACAAAATTACAGAGCAAAAAAAAAAACAAGATCAAATGTTTCTCCCATCTTTTGTCATTAAACTGTCATTAAACTCAAGCTATACAATCCTTTTTTAGTCTAATGCCTAACCTTTATACACAGCCATTCTCATTGAAAAATTTGATAGAAGGAAAAAGAAAGCAAGTCAAATAAAGGCTTCTACACTATCATCGTTCTTTATCTGTCGATTTACTAATTCATTTATTGACTCATTCATCGACTCATATTGTTTTTTTTTTTTTATGGCTACAAACTTTATCTAACAAGATAATATTACCTTGACAGCTGTTATACCAAATCAGATAAGCATCTTTTTCTTTAATAGGGTCATTTGATGAGAGCTTGGCTTTTACAAGATCAATGTTTAATGCTTCAAATAGGTTTCTGACTTCAACAGGTTTACTTTCAAATAATCATTGCTTGAAAATCATGGGTCTTGGACATTGCAATATAATGGTCTTTTGCATAAAATTTAAAAACAAAGGTTAGCTAATTTCCTATAGACAAAAGCAGGTCTTAACTAAGTGATGGTCTGATCCGCTCTAATAGAAATAGGTTAGTGTGGTGGCTATTTAAGCTTCTTCCATATAAAGAACGAGATCTGTATCATGAGATTTTTGTATTCCTCTACAATATAGCCATAATAACTTTTGCTAGGTTCTTCTGCTCTGTTAAAAGCCAATGCATTGTGCTGCTTCAAGTAGCCTAAATAAATATAATTATTATCCTAAGCCTTTTGATAAAGGCTAAAATTCTAGAAATAGGATCTGTTACAGATGTGTTTGTATCTAGCTCCCTAATTCGATTTAACTATTTGAGACATTACTCATTTTTTTTTGTAAATTTTATAGTTACAATTTAAAAGTTCTACATCCTAGCCTAGGTTGAAGTGAGAGTTGGCCTTATTATGAATTATAATTTTTTTTCATTCATTACTGCGGCATTTATGAGATTTGTGGTTAGCTTGAAGAGTACATGTCCAATTACAATCAAAAAGTAGAGTAGTAACTTATAATCTAAAGCATTATTACCAAAATAGAAGTTAAAAGATTATATAAAAATTAGTAAAAAAAATTGAATTAGCAAAGAAAGCTAGAATTAAGTTGTTAACTTGAAGTAAGAATATAAAAATTTGATTATTATAGAAGAGATTATTTACTTTTTATTTTTATAATCCTGACTAAAAATTATATACTATTCTACAGTACGTAGATTTTTAAGCATGAAATTAATGTTTATGAACTTAACAAAAAAATTGTTTTTTTTTAAGACAGTTATAAGATAAATATGAACGAACCATAACAAATTTTTGTATTTTTTTTGATGAATTATGGCTAGTTGTAAAAGGTGTAACTAATTCACTAATTTTTAACAACACTATTTGAAGGTTATTTTACATTCTAATATATAGTAGGCTTAGATCAAAGTGCGAATTGATCTTGTCCGAGAATTAAAGTGCTTTATCGGTACTAGTATTTATAGAATTAGCATTTAGTTTATTAGTTAAGTATTTTCTTTTAATGTCTCTATTTCTTATTCTTTTTTTATATTAATTAATAATATGTACTGTATATTCTCTTCTAATATAACTGTGTTATAATTCACGATAGGATCCCAATTTCAAGTTATATCACAAAATCGCATATTTTTATACTTTATACTTACATTGACTTGGATTGCAATTACTAACTATAACTTTTTACTTTAATTTTATAAAATGCAGTGCAAAGTCAAATATTAAAAAACAAAATACAAATGATAAGTTGTGTTATGGGAAATTATTTTGGATATTTCGAAATTTTGAATTCTATTTGAGTTGACTTATTATTGCAGGTAAATTTTAGTTTTTTAATTACATGTATATATGATATAAATTATCAAGTTAATCTTTTCCTATTATAGTATTAGCAGAAGCAAATCAACCAAAATTACACCTTTAACAAGAAGGTACTAAATGTCGAATAGTCACTACAACAAAGAGAGATGTTATATAATGATGCCTAGTAGAGAGGTAAAGCAAATATTAATTTGGTGAGGACCTAAGGTGCCTACTAAGTATCAATATGTTAGTATTTCAATGCAACTTTAAAGAATGTTTGGGTTTAGATATATAAGAACTTTTATTAACATTATTTTGTATAGGAAGCAAATTACACACTTTATAACTTATTTTAACAAGAAAAATTTTACCTCTTATTTATAACAAAATTACAGAGCAAGAAAAAAGAACAAAATCAAACATTTTACATCTTTTGTCATTAAACTGTCATTAAACTTAAGCTATATAACCCTTTTTTAGTCTAATACCCAATCCTTATACATAGCTATTTTTATTGAAAAATTTGATGGAAGAAAAAAGAAGGCAGGCTTCTACACCATTATCATTCTTTATCTGTTAATTCACTAATTCATTTATTAACTCATTTATCAACTCATATGTTTTTCTTTTTTTTATAATCACACACTTTATCTGACAAGGTAATATTACCTGACAACTGTCATACCAAATCGGGTAAACATCTTTTTCTTCAATAGAGTTGTTTAATGGGAGCTTGGCTTTTACAAGATCAATGTTTAATGCTTCAAACGAGTTTCTGACTTCAACAGGTTTACTTTTAAATGATCATTGTTTGAAAATCGTGGGTTCTGGAGCATTGCAGTACAATAGTCTTTTGTGTAAAATTTAAAACAAAGGTTAGTTAATTTTCTATAGACAAAAGTGGGTCTTGACTAAGTGATGGCTTGATCTGCTCCAATAAGAATAGGTTAGTGTGATGGCTACTTAAGCTTCTTCTATATGAAGAATAAGATCTGTATTATGAGATCTTTGTATCTTTTTGCAATATAGCCATAGTAACTTTTTACTAAACTTTTTCACTCTGTTAAGAGCTGATGTATTGCACTGCTTCAAGTAACTTAAATAAATATAAACTATCATCCTAAGCCTTTTGATAAAGGCAAAGATTCTAGAAATAGGATTTGTTACAGATGTGTTTGTACCTAGCACCCTAATCTAATTTAATTATTTGAGACATTATTATTACTCTTTTTTTTTTATAAATTTTATAGTTACAATTTAAAAGCTCTATATCCTGACCTAGGTCGAAGTGAAAGTTGGTTTTGTTACAAATTAGAATTTTCTTTCAATCATTATTATGGCATTTATAAGATTTGCAGTTAGCCTGCTAATATTTTTTTTTAAGCCTTTATTGTTATTATTTTTTTAGAAAAAAATGTGCTTGTCACTGATGATAACAAACCCATGTGTAATATATAACTAAGTTGAAGAACCATTATATTAAAGAATTATTACGTCAGATGTAATCTAATTTAGTTAAATAGTTTTTAATTTGTGTATTTTAGTATTTTGGTTTTCTTTCACTTCTTTTTGTTTATTTCTTATTTTTTTTGTTTTTCTTTGCTTATTTTTATTTTTATTTTTGTTTTTCTTTACTTATTTTTTCTTTCATGCTTTTCTTTTGTTCATTTTTTTTTTTTCTTTTATTCTTCTTCTTTCTTTTGTTCTTTTTCTTTCATTCAATTTTTTTTTTTCTTTTATTCTTCTTCTTTCTTTTGTTCTTTTTCTTTTGTTCTTCTTTTGTTTCTTTCATTCCTCTTTTTTTCTTTTGTTTTTTTTCTTTCTTTTGTTCTTTTCTTTTCTTTTATTGTTCTTTTTCATTTTTTCATTTTCATTTTTTCATTTGTTCTTTTTGTTCTTTTTTTTTTTGTTTTTTTTTTTTCTTGTTCTTTTTCGTTTCTTTTGTTTTTTCTTTTTCATTTCTTTTATTTTTTTTTTTTTATTTTTTTTTCTGATTACTAACTCCTTTTTTTTACAGTTCTTTCTATAGTGTCTTTATAGCATTTGTAGTTTTTATAGCAATTGGAGTATCTACAATGATTGTATAGAGGTTTACGGTGATTGTGTGATGTCTATATAAAAATTGTGGTGTTTCTATAGTGATTGTGTGATAATTATAATATCTCTACAACTGTGTAGTATCTCTCGGCTTGTGTAGAGACTCTACGACTTGTTTAGTATCTTCATAATGTTTGTAATATCTCTATGGTAATTATATAGTGTTTGTAGCATCCTTACATTGTTGTGTAGTGTCTTTAAAATGTTTATGACATCTTTTTTTTTTTATGTAATAGTATGTATATAGTAGTGTTTTAATTATAATAAAAATTTTATTTTTAATTGGATCCAAATTAAAAAAATTTTTTGATTGGATCCGAACTATACTTCTTTAAAATCAATAATGATAACAATAATGCGATTTTTAAATCTTTAATAAAATTTATTTATTTATTTAAATTCAACAAATTCAAAGATTCTACTTGAATTTTCTGACAAAACATGTCTGTTATCTACTAAAATTCGCTTATAAACCCAAAAACTACATTTCACAACTACTCTCAAGACTGATAATAGATTCTCTAACCCCTTAATTATTTTATATAATGTAATATTGTGTTGGTCAGTTTGTGCTTGCATATATCATGGGCAAAGCAACAAATTGTCTAAAAATCAGAACCACTATCCGCATAAAAATTTTCTTATATAAGGGGTTTCTAAGGAGCCGTTCTGCGGCTGTATCCATATTACTATACTTGACATTCCAATTTTTTTTTAAACTAAGCTTTATAGCTTATCATTAACAAAGACAGCAAAAAACATTTAATGGTTTTATAAAAACGGTATAACTCAAAAAAAATAAATAAATAAATAAAAATTTTTAAAAATAACTGTTATGGCTAAAGCTAGGAACGGCTAAAGCTATAAATTTTAAATACTTTTAATACAAATTTTCAATATTTTTTTAGAGTATATAGAAAGTTTTATTAGGGTCGCAGGACTCCATTAAAAATAACCAAATTCCATTTTGCTTTAAAGAAGTTAGCATCATATCGACTTCTGAAAAAGATATAATTAGGTTATTATCATGCTGACGTCTCTAAATAAAAGGGATTTGGATTATTTTCAATTGTAGAGTCCTACAACCCTAAATAATTTCCATAATTTTTTTTTTTATTTCTTCATGATAGTTTTATTTTTTTTTAAAAAATGCTTTAAAAAATTGTAAATTTGATTTAAACAGCCAATCATATGTAAGTCTTTCTATGAAATCTATTGTAAAGCATCGAAACTTAAGTTTGATGAGACAAAATTCCGGCATAACTTTAAGCGGTCATAAATTTTTCGATCCATTTGACAAATTTCATTGGCTATGAATTTCTTAAATGACGCTGCTTAAAAACAAAGCAGGCACAAATTTGCGCACTGCTAGGTAAACAAGCTCAGTTAATGCAAGCTCAGTTAATGTCTGGAGCTGGAAATTTATATGATATCGCAATAGCAAATCAGGCACTGTTCTTGTATATACGAAATGCAAGTACTCCACTACGCTCCGACAATTAAATTCAGATTCAGATTCAAAATTCTAAATTAATTCATAAAGATTTTACGCGATCCATAACAAAATAATAACCCTAGCAAATAACTGATAATAATAATACTAAATTAGATCAATTTTGGTTTTTTTTTCAAGAGCGAAATGCTAAATAAAATTTTAAATTAATGCTGTGACTGTCTTATAGATTTTATTCTTTAAGTATGGCTGACTATAAATAAAATATTTATTTGTTTCTGTACAAATTAATCATAATTTTTTCCATAACTTGTCTCATTTTGTTTACTATCAATATAAATTGCAAAATTTGAATAGATTCTTTTAAGATAAAAAATGGTCAGAGAAATTATGAAAAATAAATACAGTATCTATGGTTAATGAAGAACTATAATAGAATGCAAAAATATTACAATGAAATTAATGCAAACAATGGTCTATAATGCATGTCAAATGCATGAACATCAATGAATGAGTGAGTGAATGAGCGAATGATTGAATGATAAGTGAATTAGAGTATGTATGATATATTGCTGTATGCATGTGTAGAAATAGTTCTTGATGTCTGTAGTATATCACCCTTTAGCAAAACGTTTTTACCAACCACACATTAGTCAAGTTTTTCAGGTTCAGGTTCAGGAGATGCAGAACGTTTCCACCAACCACCCCACAAGTCACGTTTTTCGAGCTCAGATTCAGAGGAACGTTTCCACCAACCACCCCACAAGTCACGTTTCCACCAACCGCCCCACAAATCGCGTTTCTCAACTTCAGATTCAGGAGAAGCAGAACGTTTCCACCAACCACCCCACAAGTCACGTTTTTCGAGCTCAGGTTCAGAGGAACGTTTCCACCAACCACCCCACAAGTCACGTTTCCACCAACCGCCCCACAAGTCGCGTTTCTCAACTTCAGATTCAGGAGAAGCAGAACGCTTCCACCAACCACCCCACAAGTCGCGTTTCTTAAGTTCAGGTATAGATTCAGGAGATGCAGAACGTTTTTCAAGAGGTTCAGGTTCAGGAGAAGCAGAACGTTTTTCGAGAGGTTCAGGTTCAGGAGAAGCAGAACGTTTTTCGAGAGGTTCAGGTTCAGGAGAAGCAGAACGTTTCCACCAACCACCCCACAAGTCACGTTTTTCAAGAGGTTCAGATTCAGGGGATGCAGAACGTTTCCACCAACCACCCCACAAGTCACGTTTTTCGATCTCAGGTTCAGAGGAACGTTTCCACCAACCACCCCACAAGTCACGTTTCCACCAACCGCCCCACAAATCGCGTTTCTCAACTTCAGATTCAGGAGAAGCAGAACGTTTCCACCAACCACCCCACAAGTCACGTTTTTCGAGCTCAGGTTCAGAGGAACGTTTCCACCAACCACCCCACAAGTCACGTTTCCACCAACCGCCCCACAAATCACGTTTCTCAACTTCAGATTCAGGAGAAGCAGAACGTTTCCACCAACCGCCCCACAAATCGCGTTTCTCAGAATCAAGCTCAGACTCAGGCTCAGGCACAAACTCAGGCTCGGGCTCAGGTTCATTTGGACTATTTTCGCTAGAGATCCTTTTCACATTATTTCGTTTGCGCTTTTGTTTGTTGACGTTTTGAGCAGAAGATATAGAAACATCAGCACAACTTGTAACTGTGTTACCCGTTGACTCAGGCGACCACTGGAAGCGCAAAACGCCATAGCTAGTGACAACATTAGGTAAGGTTATAGATGAATGAAAGTCTTTTCCACAGTTTGGAAAGGATTTGATCATTTGAAAGTCACTTTCTTCACCAGTAGACGATAGATAAATGGAACATTCTCCCGGAGAGTCATTTGACCATACAACATCGATTGTTTGACCTTGAAAAAACTTATTTAATTGAGTGGATTTACTAACCCCGCAAGTGTGTGATTTTGGAAATTGTACTATGGGTGCCACATCTTCGGTATGTTCAATCACGTGACAAAATCCAGTACCAATAAAAAGAAATAAAATGTATATTAAGGGTTTAATGATAGATAAAAATAACGGTGATTTAAGGGAAAGTGTTCTTAATGTGGCCATCTTATGATAGATTATGTCTTCAAGATGCTTAATAATTTTTAAGAAAGAACTCTACCGGAGAGTAGCCACAATTATAGATTGGTATTGCAAAATGGATTTTAATCAGTGATGCGATGAAGAAACGTTGGGACGCTAATAAAGCTTATATATACTTGTTTTTGCATTTTTGTCTTGACAAAGATCTTGCGAGTTGCTCAAATATCAAATCATCATTATTGGCGAGATGTACTTTGTTAAATGTGAACAAGGACCTAGTAATTTAATCTTAGTAAAATTTGATAGGTTTATTTTCTAAATATGGAATACAGTAAAATTTGCATGACTTCTATAGATAAAAATTGTAGATCGGTTATTCATGCAATCGATAACAATAAGTATGACAAATTACCAAAAAAGAAATATGTGTTTGGATGGCGTATGAGTGACACTTCTAAGGAAAACGAGTTTCTAACCAGTTCTTTATGAGAAATGGCAATGGCTATTATGCAGATTAAATAGCATAAAATGGCAAATTTGTTGTCACACCGCGAAATTTTATTTGTTTTTAATCACAAAGAACCGGTTAAAGAACATGTTTCTTGCCTAGAATAGCTGGTTCTTAATTTCGATCTTTCTACGTTTTTGGAAAAACCGATAATGGTGCCAAGATCACAGTCTTTATGCTATTATGAAGCCAATTATGTTAATAGAATCGTTTCTGCATAATTTAACGATCTGACTGATCCGTCATTCTGAATGCAAAAATATTCCCATTACTTTCATTACCTTCATAAACTGATTGATAGTTATACAGATATGTTTATTGTGCAGACACATCCTTTACTTTGTGAGAAAACTTAGAACCATTAAAAAAGATAGTTCGTGAAGACTTATCATTTAGTTGTATGTTATAAAATATAATGCGTAAAAACTTTGTTCTCTATATTTAGATAATGAAACCGTGGTACGAAAAGTTTGAACACCTGCAACTCTATAGATTTTCTGACTTATCATTACGATCATTACGGCGCGTTTGCAAAAATTAACTTGGAAGTACTATAAAGAGTGCCATTTATTTACTATGGCCTTTAACATTTTTTACATTTCTTATTACAAATCACAAATAACATTAAGCGATTTTTCCGTGGGAAAATAAATTAGGTGTTATTTAGGTACAACGTACGTACTTATATTTTAACGTGTGATTTGATCAGTGATCTATTTGTACACTATAGTATAGGAATAAATTAGTGATACAAATCGGGAAGATCGATTAATCGAGAAGTTATCTAAGTTGGCAACCAATTGATTTAAAACTTATGAAAAAACTTTTACCCAGATGCCTGAAATGTGTGCCAGGTTTGTGGCGCAGACAAAATTCTTTAAATTCATTTAAGGTTAGCGTTTATATTAGGGTTAGGCGTTAACGAAGTATACAGTAAAATTACTCAAGAAAAACTTTTACCTAAAGTGATTTTTTATACGGATTTTTGCAAAACGAACGTTTGTTTTTTTGAAATCTGACTTGTAATTTAGAAAATCTGCATTACAAGCCCGGCATATGCATTAAACTAGCTCTTATGCCCGGGCGTTGCCCCGGGTTTAAAATTTTTTATTTACTTACAGCTATTATCATAATTTCTGGGACACCATTCGGTCGATCCGGTTAAGTTATGATTTCGGCATATAGTAATAGTTGCAAAATTATGCGTACGTACGTATCAGGTATGCATGTACTGTACGTACGTACGCATGTATAATCAAGTGTTTGCGTTCCGCAAAAAATGTCCGCTATTTTTAGGTATTCAGTAAAGTAGTACAAATTCGAACGGACATACGAAAATTATACTAAATTTTTTGATAGTACGTACGGCAAATATAGATTTGTAAAATTTGATTTTATAAGTAATCATTTTTAATTGTTAGGGTTAGGGTGAGCGCTAGTATTGTCCTTTTTTCATGTTGGGGTAATTAGTAAAAGTAATATGGGCTTGACGAAATTTTTCTTTTACAAACCGTACGTACTATTTTGAGTCCGTCCTAATTTACGTTTCCGTACCGTACTACTTTACTATATACCCATTTTTAACGGGCATGAAAGTAATACATATTTACAAAGTGTACTCGAACTAAAACTGTATATATAATTAATATGAAAAATACACTACCAGCAACAGGCTCTACTTGTCTCTCACGTATATCTGTAAGTTGCAGATAAATTAGTCTGAGCTTTTATTTTTGCAATGTAATTTTATTTTTATTTGTATTCTTACAAATAGTAGTAATTTCAATTACTATTATTAAATAAAGTTATTAATAAAGATATAAGCAAGGCCTCACCTTAAAACCAAAAAAAAATTGTAAAATTCTGATTAGTGTTTATATAGGTACTTTGTAGTAGAAAGAATAAATACTTGAATATATTTAATTTTGAGATAATTAAGTTTAATTATTTTTGAACTGTTTCAGGTTAACTAAAATCTAGATATACTTCTTAACTATCAATTTTATTCTAAATCCTAACCCAACACAAAAAAAAGTGAAATAAGCATCTAAAAAATTTACTAATTGTATTAATAACAATTTCAATAATGATTAATTAAATAATTGGCTAAGAATTTTTTTGCTTATACACTTACCTATTATCTGGCCTTAAGTTCTTCTGCTCTGTTTCAAAAATAATCTTAGTAATAATAGCATAGAGGTTAAATTTTTATTTTAGTATTAACAGGATTTTGGCATATAAATATTATAATTATTTTTATAATTTTTAAAACATTTGACAAAAATTAGCTAAGTAATTTTTTGGCTAATTCTGTTAAGTTATTGATTTTGGCATATCGATTTAATATAAAATTTAAGACTAAGTAATTAAGGCTGTATAAATTTAATATTTTGCTTTTTATAATATGAAACTTTTAAACAGACCTGATCAGCTAGCCTTTTTTAAAATTTTATATTTAAAAATTTTATAGAATTTTTTTTAAAAAAATTTTTTATTTTTATTTTTTATAGTCAAGGTTAGTCTTTTTAGTTTATCACTTTTATTAGATTATAGAATCATGTGATGCTCTTTTTAAGGGAGCTCCAGACAAATATATTCTGACGAAAGTATATTTTAGCCATACTTATACCTTTTAAGCGCCTAATTTAAGTAGTCTGCCTATTTTTAGATTTTATACTTGATGTCATATCTATAACCCATCTATTATTTAGTTTATTTAATTAAACTCTCTAATCTAAGTTTCCTATATCAATCCATTTAACCTCACCTAAAACCTGCGGTACATTAGTTAGTCTAAGTTCTAGGATTGTTTACGAACTACCTATAGGACTACCAGCTTGGTTAACTAATTCATCCTTGAAGTCATCATTTGCTAGAGCAGTCTAGTACCCACTATTATCATATTATCTAGTCTTTTTAGATAAGTTTTGCTAAATAGGTTTTATATTTTTATGGACAAACCATGTTACCAATTCTTTTCACAGATAAGTTCACCAGATAGATTCTAAATCTTTACAAACAGGCTATACTGCTGAACTCTCTGATCCTTACAAAGTTCATCCAAACCTCAGTACCTTCTTTTTAAGACAACTCAGTACCTTCTCTTTCAGTACTTCCTAGCTGGTCTTCTTAGACTACCAATTCAAATAGCCCAGAAGAAATACTGGTTCTGTGATATCTGCCAATCCTTTTTCTCTAGTCGATGCTCAAACTAGCAGTCTGATTGGTAAAGCAACTTGCCAGATGCTCTTGCCGCATTCACTTCTTCAGCTTTAAATAAAGCCTATTTTAGTAGCTATCATCAAAAGTTTGTATTATATTTCTACTCGGGTTTTGCTAAACAGGTTTCATCTTGCCAGTTTCCTGAGTTCATATGAACACAAAATCTTATCTTGGGTTTGTACTGACTAATACTGGCTTGCATGATTTTGTGTAATTTATATATTGCACAAATGCTTATAATCTTCTAATCTTGTTAGTGTTATCAAAGTTACAGAGATCCTATTCCAACCAATCATTGAAAAATAGTAGCTATCGTATAAGCAGAATATTTAAAATTTTACCATTGGTAGGTTTTGAACCTTTTACCTACCAACATGCCACTTGAAGGTGTGACAACCTAATCACTTTACTAAGTTGCTACATCCTTTTTTTAAAAAAATTTTAAAAAGCCTATTTGGTTATTAAAATATAAAAAAATTTTTTTTATAAGATTTCAAATTTTGACTCAACTAGATTATAAAAACCAATTAATTAATTTTATATAGTCTAATATAAAATTTCTATAAAATTTTTTTCGAAATAGTATTAATTTTTTTGAATAGAAGTTTATTCTTATACTATTTTTATTATAAGCTTTTTTTTTTTTCAACATGTCCTGCCACTGTTTTATTAAGATGGTAATTAAGCAAAATTACAAAAATTTAATTATAGCTAATCCTTCTTTAACCGCAGCAAGTGATTCACTCAGCTTAAAGTCCAGGTGCAATATCATCTAGTAGTTGTTTGTCTTTCTCCAGGCCTCTAATTTCCTAGAGACATGAATCCTTCGATCATTGACTAGTGCTACATACCTATCAGTATCATCTTTTCTATGAAATACAGACATAAAACAAAAGGCAAAAAAAAAAAAGGATGATACCTTGGCATCTAGATTCAATTCACCTAAACAAATAAAACTAAAAAAACATATAAAAAAAAAACAAAATAAAAGAAAAGAAAACAAAGATAGCACTATTAAACCTATACCAGATTGTAAAAATTATATAGACTACTAAATAATCTAGTCTAAACTCTATGCTAGTTACTTATTATCTATATTAAAATATATAAAATATCTATTCTTGAGTAGAGACCAAGTCTGAAATTTCTCTTGTGATCTCACCGAGTTTGATGCAGTATCCTGCAACTAGGATATGTGACACAGCTAAAAAATCTTGCATGCCAAATAGTATGCTATTTGCCAAAGCTCGTGCTAGACATGCCAGGATAGCATGCTACTAAATCATATGATAAA